TGGCATTAAAAAACCGTTACCAGATAAAAGGTGTCAGGATTTAATAGCAAAATACTTTTTTGAAGGAAACGCTGAAGTAGTTTCTTCATTCCGATTTGTAGAAGTATTTGTTAATGTATTAGCAGATCAGTTTACTCGTCTCTCATCAATCGTTTATTTTACTGTAGAAAATCTAAAATTGATCATTAAGGATGAAACGAGATTAAGAACGACATTAGTTGATAGACTAATTGACGTTTCTAAGGAGTTTGCAACTAGATCAGTTAAGACTAAAGAAGCGCAATTAGAATCGACATTGGCATATGATGATGATACAAAATTTGAAATAGTTCAATGGGATGCATCCAACCATTTTTTGGTCTTTTTCATGTCTCAAAATCCGGATTCGATTTGTGCTTTATATCGTGAAATGAATAAAATTCCTGAAAATGTCAAAGAATTTCTTAAAATTCAATACATGGCTGGCCTAAGCAAATGGGAATTAGAAGATTACAACCGGATGTCACCCAGATTGCTATTAGAGAGACTTGAATGTTTAGCACGTCGAACGACGCATCATATAAAACTTCCGTCGTATGCGCTATCGTCTGATAATATAATAAAAATGGCATTAATATTGTTGAGGGCGCGTGCAAATGTTCCTGTTGTTGTTGTGGGAGAAGCCGGATGCGGCAAGGTTATTAATTTTTGTCACGGTTGATGTTAAGATAGACTGATGCTGAGATTTGAAGCCTTTATTTAAATCCACTAAGCCTACTGAAATCCATATATAATCCCATATTAATAAGTCTAAACCTTAATTAGCTCTAAGAAAAAAAGTACTCTAAAACTTTTTAAAATTTCCCACTAAAATATGTTCAATTTTCAGCATCAAGTGCAATAATTTTTAGATAAATAATTATTAATATATAACTTTATATTATTTAGTCTAGTTTAATAGGGTACTTGGCCAATGTGGTTGAAGTTAATTACGAACCATTCAATCTTCATGCGGGAATTAAGGAGCAAGATATATTAGATTTCATGGAAAAGGCTCAGAAAAAAGCTGATAATGGCGAATTGTGGTTATTCTTTGATGAAATTAATACTTGCAATCACATCGGGTTGCTTGCAAATTTGATAGCACATCGTACACTTAAGGGGAAGTTGGTACATCCTAATATTAGGCTTTTCTCGGTAATGAGCAAATTCAACCTTAGTAAAATATGATATTCTTTATGCATATTATATTAATAATTTTATTAATTTTAATTTGTTTTATCCTTTAATAAGGCATGTAATCCTTATCGTAAAAGAATCAAATCCCAAAGTCAAGTCGGAATAAAACCTAAGGTTAAAGAATACGAAGATCAAAGTAACCTCGTATATCAAGTAAAACCACTTCCAGATCAAATATTAGATTATGTTTGGGAATATGGTGTTCTCCTTCCGAATGATGAAAAAATATATATACAAATAATGGTACAAACACAATTAGGGGAAGGACATGACTTACTTATAGAGCTCTTATTCGCATCGCAGCAATTTATTCGTTCAATTGAAGAAAAGTATAGTGTTAGTTTGCGTGATATAAAGCGAGCAATTAGATTGGTCTTATTCTTTACTGAAAGTCTTCAATGTCATTCAAGGATCACGAAAAGTAAACACCATTCAGCTCACCCCTATCCACCTCATCCAGAAAATCCTGGTCGTATCAATTTTCTATATCGTTGTTATATTCTAGCACTTAGTCTTTGCTATCAATCTAGAATATATAACCAAGAATTACGAAGTGAATATCGCAAAGAAATGATTAAAGTTCTCCAAAGACATAGGATAGCCATTATTAAAGATAATGATTTTACTAAAATAATCCGAGATGAACAAGAAGATTGGGTTAAAAGAATGCAATTACCACCAAATACTGCGATTAATGAACCATTATTAGAAAATGTTTTAGTGATGATTGTCTGTATTCTTACCAAGATTCCTGTGTTTATTATCGGTGCACCTGGGTAAAGATTATGATTTTTTTTTTTTTTTGCATTATCTACTTAGTCGTTCTAACTAAATTTTATACTTTATTTATTAGATCATCAAAATCTTTAGCAATTAAACTTGTAGGTCAAAACCTACGTGGGACTGATTCAAATGATAAATATTTTCGAAAACTTCCTCAGGTTTAAAATCATTTAATTTTTTTTCTATAGTTATCAATAATATATAAATAATGTTTATTTATTTTAATTTAAAATGCAGGTATACCTTATTTCTTATCAAGGATCGTCGTCTTCCACTTCGGACGGTATTATTAAAGTTTTTGCAAAAGCCATTAAATACCAAGAAACCAACTCAAAAGAATTTTCTGTGATCAGTGTTGTTGTTCTTGATAACGGTAAGATTATTAACTTTATTCTTTATTTAATTTGGTGTTAAAAGTTTAATAAGTTGCCGGTATGTAGTTGGATTGGCTGAAATTAGTCCAGATAATCCACTTAAAGTACTTCATGCATTACTTGAACCACACTATCCGTCTGATGGGCCAGTAGTTTCCGTTGTTGGTATTAGTAATTGGAGATTAGATAATAGTAAAAGCAGCAGAGCCTTATTAGTTCAAAGGTTAGCATATTTTACAATTTTATTAGCTGTTGTTAGCTGTGTTTAATATTATTATATAATTTATGTTTTAATGCATCAAATTAATGACTCAAACCATTAGACCTAAGTTTGGTATTGATGATCTTATCGATACGGCGGTTCGTTTACTTGATTCTAAATTGCATAACTCCATAAACCGTGCCTCACTTCAACCACTTGCGGAAGCCTATTCAGATTACGAAGGATGTGGTCAATCACATTCTAACTTCCACGGTCTCCGAGATTATTATGGATTAGTAAAAAGTTTATCAAA